AATCGCTGGCGGTGGCTGGCAACTTTTTTTCAAAAATGCTGGCGGGGAAAGAGTTAAATGCTTAGTTTTATGATCAAAACCTATAGTGCAACGCAATCCAATGATGAGTGAGAGGTGAACAAATAAATGGTCCTCAAAAGCCTGATGATCATATCTGATACTCACATTTAACATGATTTTTCTAAAAAAATATAATAAAATAAAAAATCAGGATAATCAAGTAAACCTTCAGTCCAGTAAGTGCTCATCCTGCAATATTCCTAACAATATAAAACGCAAAAATCTTGCGTTTACTCAATAAAAATGATGTTTGAGATGTTCTAGATGTTTGAACAATTATATTAAAAGGCCTTTTACTTGCTAAAAACGTGGAGTAGATTGTGTGCAACAGGTTCTTCTTCAGCGATTTTGATCTTTTAGAGGCCTTACAAATCATGTCAAATATGATACAATATTATCTGTTTTAAATGTAAGCGATGGGTTGTTCACCTCTATGATGTTCCTGCCCTGGTCCCATGGCAGTGGCGTCCCGTACAGGAATCCGTTGTCATAGGCGTCTCTCTGGGTAAAGCGCAGCCAGCGGGGCTTCTCTATCAAACAACCTGATGTCATAAGAGATCAGATAAAACAGATAAATGTTGCAAAGAAACCAATAAAAAAAAAAATTATAATTCAAATGCAATTTTTATTTTTTTATTTTTTTATTTATTTATTTTATTTTATTTTATTTTATTATGCAGTTTACTAGTTCACTTGCATTTCATCTTACAGACACACGAGGGCGGCAGAAATCTTTTGTTATTTGTTCTGAAGTGAAGTAAAAAAAATCTGGCAGGCATAAAAAGAAGAAAAAAGAAAGGAAAAAAAAATATATATATATATGTAATAAAAAGAGGTTACATTTTTTAAGAACAAATAAATTATTAATAGTGAATATATGCTATATTAATGTCAAAAGTACCGAATCAGGAAGCAGATACATGCAGAATTTTACGTCTTCGAGGAAAAAAATGTGAAAGGCTTACTCTAACTAAATTTAAACTTGTGTATAAAATAGTTTGCCAAAAAAGAAAATAAGATCGATTAAATAAACACATACAACACTTCTCTCTCAAAATGTGTACAACCAAGAATAACATTTTCATATTACAAAGGGATATCAGGACTCATGCTACAAAAACAGCTGGTTAAAGTGCAATTTCAGCACAAGGACTTAGTGACGACATCCTCGGCTGCATCACGTCACATCCGCCAGAGGGCGCTGATATCAAAACATGCGCCTTTGGCATCTACAGAAAGCACAATGTAGCTGTTATTGTATCTTTGGCACAGTCACAGAGGTCATTCAAAACAACAGCAGCACTGCAGCAGTGATTCAGAGCTGAGCGGGAGAGTCACTGAGCCTCGGGAGGAGCTTTGAGATAAATGTCCGGTGTGACTGTTGATTGATCAGATATAAGTTCGGGAAGCATCAAGCGAAGAAGTCAAAGCAGGAACAATAAGCAGATGGATCTGGAAGAGTCGCGCTGATCAGACTCGACGAGGAGCGGCACGACTCTTTTATTATTCGGTTAAAAGTCTCGAGGATGACCGTCCGGTGGCTCTCGGTAAGGGACGAACTCATGTCTGGCCAAAGCAGACAAAGTTTGCTTATTTTTGCAAGTTGAATGGCTTTATTTTAGCTTTGCTCGGTTTGTGTGAACTTTCGGTTCGTACAGAAATGTTGCGAAAACTGTGTATAAATGGTGCAGGTCACTTCAGGTCAGACAAAGCCGAAAATGACTTTTTGTAAAGTGATTTTTGGACATGGTCTGAATGTCCTGTTGTGTATTGGACTTCGTGTAACATTGAAGTACCGTGGTATTGTTGATGCACAGAAGTTTCATGTAAATAATAGGGTATTTGGATATAGTAGTCATTCTAAACTTTGCACTCTTTTATGTCTCAAGTGTTATTTGTATTATTATTATTATTTTAATATTATTAAAAGAATAGTTTTTCGGTTACACTTTACAATATGGTTCCATTAGTTAATGTATTAGAGTATTACATTTATTACAGTATTTATTAATCTTTGTTAATGTTAGTTAATAAAAATACAGTCGATCATTGTTCATGTTCATTCACGGTGCATTAACTAATGTTAAAAAGCACAACTTTTGATTTTAATAATGCATTAGTAAATGTTGGAATTAACATGAACTAAGATTAATAAATGCAGTAGAAATATTGTTCATGCTTAGTTCATGTTAACCAAAGTTGTTAACTAATGACATTTCTTTGTGTTATATGTCATCTTAAAACTTTATTGGACATTTATTTACATTTACACTTGTCCCAGTCACATTTTCAATCTTAAGACACGAAAATTTATTTTATAATTAATAAAAAAACAATTCACATAAAATTCATCATATATATATATATATATATATATATTTAAAAAAACACTAGCTTTCTATTCTATCTACTTGTTTTTCTTTGTGTGTGTGTGTGTTGTTGCTCTTTTGTTAGTTTTGACGGCTTTTATTGTCCTCATTTGTAAGTCGCTTTGGATAAAAGTGTCTGCTAAATGACTAAATAAAAAAAACAAAAAATAAAAAATATATATGCATACATGTGTGTATACATGCAGGCTGTTTTAAACACCTTGTCAGTTCAATTTTGTTTTATTTACTAAACACAAAAATTCATAGTGTAATAGTTAAGAAAGAATAAATCTACATATGTGATTACTAGTAGGCATAATTTAATTTATATGAAATTCAAATTCATTATTACTAAATAATTTAACACTAACCATAAGTAAGACTAAATAATGCATGTAAACACCAGATGCAGATTTTTTATCTTAAAACATGAAAAATGATTACAAAAATCTTAATTAATACATATGTAAAACCATCATAATCTAAACAAAGAATGAAATAATCATAAACCATTTCAGTATTTATTATGTGATGATTTATATATTTTTTTTCTGGCATCATATTCACCACGTTGAACAATTTTTGTACCAAAAGTACTTTCCAATCAAGCTTTGATTTTGTCAAATTATACAAAAAAAGAAAATATGATTTAATTGTGTGTTCAGGATACATAAACTTCTAGCAGTGAAATGAGCCTTAGACTAGACTCCGTACCACTTATATACTCTGGTCTGGAACATATCAAAGCTTATTTCTGCCATGGAATAAAAAAATAAAAAAGGTAATTGCGATACTGTGTCTCTTTTTTTTTTTTAAGTTATAAACTCGTAATTGTGAGTTTACATCATTTACATTTTATCTGAATTGATTTTACATCTTGCAGTTCTGTTTTATATATATATATATATCACAATTCAGAGTTTTCTTTTTAGAATAGTGAGCAAACATCTTGCAGTTCAGCACAGACAAGCGTCATCATACAAACACTGGCAAGTCTCAGTGCTGTTAAATCAGCACTTTTGGGATGCCAGTCAAATTAAAAGACCAGCATTAATTGTTATATAAATAAAAATACTAAAAATGTAATATTTGCATTAAGGTGCATCACACTTAGAAGAGTTTTTAGCTGGTCTTGAGTATGAATGTGATTTCATGCTGACTCTGCAGCCTTCAGCTTCCACATCTGTGACTGCTTGAGGTATCATTTCAACTCTGAAAATAGAAGACAGGAAGTGGCTCGCATTGATGGCTTAGGCTGTTATTAGGGCTGACAGATGCTCGCCAGTGCCAAAATGAAACCGAATGCATATGCTTTCTTTGGATTGCACAATGCACTTCAAGGGGAATAAAAGAAAACATGTTTGAACATTTAAAGAGCCTGGCAGGTTTGTTCATGTTCAGCTAATGATTCATTTAAGATTAATTACATGAATTTATTAAAGGAATAGTTCACACAAATATGAAAATTTGCTGAATGTACTCATCTTCAGTCCATCCAAGATGTAGAGGAGCTTGTTTCTTCATCAGATTTGGAGAAATGTAGCATTGCATCAGTGTCTGAGCAATGGATGCTCTGCAGTGAATGGGTGCCGTCAGAATGAGAGTCCAAACAGCTGATAAAAACATCACAATAATCCACAAGTAATCCACACCACTCGAATCCATCAGTTAACATCTTGTGAAGCCAAAAGCTGCGTGTTTGTAAGAAACAAATCCATCATTAAGATGTTTTTAACTTCAAACCATTGATTCAAGCCAAAGCACGAGTCCGTAAAATATTTGTTTAGAGCTGTTTTAGACTGTTTTCTTTTGTAAACAGTGCTTGATCTGTGCATATTTCTCTCCTCTGATTCCTGACTTTTTCACTGAAGAAAACAATATAATGGTTAATGGACTCATATTTTAGCTGGAAGCAATGGTTTAAAGTTAAAAATTTGAATTTTTTAATTATAGACTCGCAGATTTTGCTTCACAAGACGTTAATTGCTGGACTGGAGTGCTGTGGATTACTTGTGGATTATTGTGATTGTTTTTATCAGCTGTTTGGACTCTCATTCTGACGGCACCCATTCACTGCAGAGCATCCATTGCTGAGACACTGATGCAATGCTGCATTTCTCCAAATCTGATGAAGAAACAAACTCATCTACATCTTGGATGGCCTGAGGGTGAGGACATTTTCAGCACATTTTAATTTTTGGGTGAACTATTCCTTTAAGACGGTTGAGTAATTTAAAGATAATGAAACTTAATTTCTTGCTAATGCACTTGTGGTTTTGTTTACGCAGGGTCTGCAGTGATGCAGTGAAGATGAGCGCTGTTGTGGAGAGTCAGGCAGGCGTGGGCGGTTGAGCTGGCGTCGAGTACAGGAAGAATGCACTTATCCCATGTTGGCACCAACAAAATCTGCTTCCTGCTTTCTCTGGCGTTCTGTGCCATACTGGTGCTGCTTATTCCCTCCTTACAACCTCTGCAGCGTCAGAAGGATCTGCCCCAACCCCGGCCCCGTACCAGGCCCGCCGGACGCAGACATGACCTCTACGGGAACCCCGGCCAAGGAAGCGATGATGCCAAGGATGGTAGTTTCATTCACCCACTTCCTCCTAGAGGCCGACCCGAGGACCCACAGAGGATGTTAGAGGGAGACGCTGCACACGCCAGATCCCCTGGGTCCCGTTCCAAAGACTCTTTGGATTTGAGAGACATTTTTATTGCTGTTAAGACCACCAGGAAATATCACAAGTCCAGATTGCAGCTCCTGTCCCAGACCTGGGTGTCCAAAGCCAAGGAACAGGTAGGGAGGTGTTTTAACTGTCTGCGTATTAATACTCACTAGTCAATTATTTTGCCATCCACTAGAGGTAAAACTCCCAATACATTCTTTTTGATCTTATTAACTAGGGATGCCACAATTTTCAATATAATATTGAACCGGCTTGGTACGACATTCACGGTTTAATTCATGCTTGTGAATTGCGTTTTTTGTTTTGGTTTTACGTTTAAATAATTTCACTGAGTCACGCGCTCAGATGAGGAAACGCCTCCCCACTTATAACGTGCATTTGAAAAAGCATCACATGCCGAGCATCTTCCGCTGTAATAACTTGTAATGGGAAGCGTTTCTAAACCTGTTGTCCAACAAAAGAGATCATTGTAACTAGGGATTGACAATAATTCAATATCAATATATATCACGATATAATTTTTTTTCAATAATGGTGATATGATTTTTAAACACATTACCAGGGTTTCCCATACATTGATTTATTTGTGGCGGCCCGCCACATAATGGATAAGAATAATATATTCTTTATAGAAAATATATTCTGTACTGTAAAAAAGGCTATGTCGATTAGAAATGAATTACAAATATACTTAATTATTATGAAAATACCCGAGATGGCTTGAAGAACACAGGCAAACCATATATTGTCGTAGGAGTGTTTATTGTCTTCATGTTTAATCATTCAAAACGTTTCTGTTGTCTTTTGATTCAGCTGTCCAGACTTATTTAAAAGGGGGCCAGATTCAATGTAATTTGGCCTATATTTCATTACTCACTTAATACATTCAATAGGCCTTCATTTCTACATTAATAATATAATACATTTTGATATGAATTTCCTACATTTCTGTCACAATACCACAGTTACAGTTAGTGTTTCTAAAGGAAATCTTTTGTAAATGTTGGTGATTTGTGGATTGAAAAGTATTTAAAGTAACTGGACTGTTGTCACACAATGTTTCTCCTGTTTTCTGTGTCAATGTTGTTGAGAATGTCGGCCTTTAAACAGAAAGCAGAAAAATCAGAAAAATCCCAATTAGTTGTTTTTTTCCCCAAAGTGTGCAGCCCTATGGCAAAGATAATTTAAATGTAAAAAATAAGAGCAATGAGCACAACATTTAATTAACTACTATTAACACAAACACTTATCAACAATACCAGTAAATGCAAAAAAAATAAAGTCTAATATTGGTCAATATGGTTCTGATATAGTACAACATTTTCAGGATGTTTTACAATATTTTAAAGTCATTATGAAACATAAGTAGCGATAAGTCTTTGCTTCCATATTTATAATGTTTATCGAAAAGCGCAAAAAAAAAAAAACTGTGTGGAGAAGACTTGGTTTGATCCGACTGTTGTTGATTGGATGGTGGTTTTGGGATCTGTCATTTTGCAGCTCCTTGCAGT